CTCTTACTTAGACTTTCAGCAATGAGGGGGTGGGTGGGGGATTTCACTCTCTTGGCCAGAAACTTCACTAAGCTACAGCTTGGAAATGGTGGAGTCCATAGCCTAGCACCAATGTGAGACGCCCAATAAAAGTATTACACTCGTGAAAACAGGCCCAGGTATCCCAGAGTTATGACTTACCTGGAAGTGAAATGGACCCAAGAAGACTAAAGACATGAAAAGAAGAATAAAGCAAGCAGGGCCCTGCAGCCCTGGAAGTGTGACTTATGTTGGCCTTATGTTTTCCCTCTCCCTCGGGTACTGTATGTACATGGGCACTCTTTTCCTACTGACGCTACACATATATATGTGGGAAAATGTGCCCCAGGCTTACTGGAGTATTTTGTTACCATGATCCATGGATAAAATGACATTCTAACATCTGCCTTTTCCTTAAGCTAATGGTATTCTCTAGGTGACAAGAGTGGAGGTAAATGGATTAGTGAGGATTGTGAGTTATAGCTTTAGATGTGTGGACCTATAGAGTTCTTTGAAACTGGGGTAGGTGGATGTCTATCCGGAGGACTCACCCTAGAAGAGAAAGGGTCCAACCCCAGAGGAGGCGCTGCAATTAAAAGACCCTGCCCCACCTTTCCACCTGTCATATCTATGACTGTGGGTAAGTAACCCAACTGAATTTTCTTAAGTGCTCAGAAGCTCATCTTAGTAATTAACCTGGTTTTTATGCCCAAAGGGCTGTGGAACTGTGCATACTCTTTGATCCAGACATATTATTACTATACCCCAAAGAGATCAAAGAAAAAGGAAAAGACCCAAATGTACAAAAATATTTATAGCAGCTCTTTTCGTGGTAGCAACACATTGGAACCTGAGGAGCTGGCCATCAATTGGAGAATGGCTGAATACATTATGGTTTATGATTGTGATGTAATACTATTGTACAGAAAGGAATGATGAAGGGGATGGCTAATGTGGAAATAGTTTTCCATGACTCCATATGTACAATGAGTATTATGGGGGAGGGGCAGAGGGAGGGAGAGAACATGGAATTGAAAAATAAAAATTAATTTAATTTTTTTAAAGGAAATTAACCTAGTTTCCAGACAGGAACAGTGCCTGAAATTCTGAGACATTTTACAGTCTTCTGCAGAGTTGGAGGCTGAGTAATAGCTAAAATTTATATAGCATTTTAAGGTTTCCAAAGCACTTTATGCATCATTAGCTCAGGTGAACATTTGAATGGAGGTTTAATTGAACCACCATGAACCAAATATTATGAGATTATTCTGCCCAGATGATCAAGAAAACATCGTTTTATTTTGTTTCGTTGCTTTTTTTTTTCATACAATCTGTCAGATCAACCTGGAAAACGCAAAAAGCTATAGCTTACTTTCTGTTTGAATCATCCATGCAAACGTATCAGGCAATGAGGTGATTTAAACCTCATTAGATAGGATTTATTTCTACGTCTGATGTTTCAAATTTTAATCTTTTAAATTCATGTAACAAAGAAGGGCAGTGCCATTACTTATGAGATCGGAACAATCCGCATGTTCCAGGATCCATGATGCTCGACATTTCTCTAGGCTCACAAGTAATTATGATTCTTATCCAGTCAGGGGGTGTGTTGGAAACCATGCTTTCCACTCAGGTTAGAAAAGAAATGTGCAGATCAACTTTAGAGGCAGGAAAGGGGAGCAGGTGATATGAATATCCAGTCGAGAGGACGCTAGCTCATGCCCAGTTTGTGGATACCTGGGAATGGGCTGGCATCTTATTGACTGGACATTAACGTTATGGGTTAAGTGGAAAATTAGCATGGAGGCAGTTGTAAATGATATACATTGCAGGAAGAAGAGTTCTCACTTGTTTAAAATAAGAAAAATAATCGTGGATGAAGGAGCTTCTCCAGTCGAATTCATAAAAGCCGTGGTTTCTTCCCCTTAGTCCAAGGATCCTGGTCTTTGTTGTCTCTGTTCTTCCTTGACCTGCCAACTGAAAATTTTGAGAATCCCCAATGTGGATCAAGCACAGCAATGGAGAATGTTGGAGTAGAGTCACTGTTATCATCTGATGAGGAGGAAGGATCCATTTGGAAAAGGGATCCGAGGCTTAGAGGGCATATTTTCTCATGATCACCAGCATTGTTGGGTTTTTTTTTTTTATTTGACCACTTCAAGGGGAAATGGAACATTCCTCAATAGCAGGTACAAAGCTGGGGACCCCTCTTATACATGGCCCAGAGTACAAAGCATTCTGGGGCTTCCCAAAAGGCCTCACTCCAGCCCCAAAACTCAAGTCACTGAGGGATCTATAAGCATATCACTGTTGCCCATAAAACCAACTAGGGCTCCTTCTGTGGACAGAGTCCAAATGCCTGACCCACCAAGTATCTGTATATCTTTTAGTTCTGAATGCAGTGCTTCCATAAATCCTGGGATTGTGGCTGCATTCTTTAATGTCACCAGCCATGGTTCTTCAATCATTTGTCCCAAGCATATGGAGGGTTGAGCAGGCTCAAGTCTCAGCCAGGAACCCAGAGCTAGGGTGTCTATCAGAGAAGGGGGGTTAGAAGATATCATAAATGGAAGTTGTGGTATATCAACTTCACATGGCAAGGGTGTGATGATATCATGGGGGAAACTTTGTCTTCTTAGTTGATAATGAAAACTTGCAATGTCTCCAGGGCCCCAATTCATAGATTGCCCAGCACTTAAAAAACAGTGTGGTATAGTAAAATGGGTCATTGGATTTAGAAGCAGCCAAAACTGGATTCAAAAACAGCCTCAGATACTTATTAACTATGTCACTGGGGGCTAGTTATAAATCTCTCTGGGTCTTAGTTTCCTCATCTATAAAACAAGGGTGTTCAACTGGATGGCCTCTAAGGTCCCTTCCAGCTCTAAAACTTGTGTGAACTTTAAACCTTGGAAACTCAAGCCCTCACTGAGGGCTTCCCGAAGGAGGAAGTATGTCTTGGGGTATGGCTTCCCAGGACAGGATGAAATATACCATTTAAAAGAAATGTGAATCTAGAATGGGAATGAATATCTCAAAACATCTAGTGACAGAGTGTTCCCTGGATGCATCCATCCCTAAGACTTCTCAGTACTGCTTAACTCTTGGCTCCATGAGTGAAGGCAAGGACTGCATCTTATGTAAACTGTGTATGTCCTCGAGCACCCAGCTCAGGCTCTACAAAGGAGCTGAAAGCTAAATAAATGAATGAATGGATAAATAGTTGGAGGAAGAGAGAGGTGGATTAATTAATTACTTTGTTAACAAACAGATGGATAGATAAATGGATGGATGGATGGAGGAAAGAACCAATATTAGAATAGCTTGCCGAACTTTGGTATGATACAGATCTCATATTGATTTGACTTCCTGTCTCACCCTCAGAAGAGCTGAGATTCACAACCACCATTTTCTGATGCTCAAAATTAAGTGATTTTGCATATTACTGCCCTCTTCCTATGCCTAATAATCAAATCTTGTTGTTCCCTCAACATAAGGAATATGAAGGAATTCCTTATGGCATTCCACGGACCACTCATGAGACTCTAATAGGAGTATCCCTGCCCACACCAAGCCCACTATCTCCTGCCTCATTGGAAAAGAGGCTTGAGTGTTTCTCCATCTATTATGACTTACAATCACTTTGATCAGTCAATCAACCAGCATTCATTTATGAGGTGAATAGGATGTGAAAGGCTCTGTGCTGAGTACTGGGGTCACAAAGAGAAGCGTGAAATCGGTGCCACTCTTGATGAGCTCACATTCTAATAGAGAAGAAAAACATTATGTATTAAAGAGGCTTATACAAGACACCTATAGAGCAGATGCTCTCTGATTTTCTAATGAAGAAGGAAATGCCATCAATATAGGCCAGGCTTCCTCTGGATCATGGGACAGAAGGCTACTCCAATTAGAAATGACCCATGCAGGGTTGACCATTGTGATTTTTTCCCTTGGTTAGCTTTGCCAATTTGCCACACACTCAAATGGAAGAGAGCATGCTTTCTCTTCCCAGAGTCTGAGTGGTTAATGAGCGTGAGTGCCACCATGCTCCCAGTCACCTGGTTCACAGCTTCAGCATTATCCTCAACTTCTCTCTCCTTCCCTGCCCCCAACTATTAATCAGTTGCCAAACTACGTGATTTCTTTCTCCCCAGCATGTCTTGTATCTGTCCCCTTCTCTTTACTCACCCAGCCACAATTGAACATAGGACCTTCTTACCTTACTTCTGGACTCTTGAAATAGTCTTCTAATTGGTCTCCTTGACTCATGGCTCTACCCCTTCCATCCATTTGTCATATAGCCACCCAAGAATGTTTCCAAAAGGTCAAATCCCCCACTCAATTAATTCTAGTGGTTCCCTATTACCTTTTGTATCAACTATAAATTGCTCCATTTGGCACTTAAAGCTCTTCACAACACAGCCTCTTCCTAGCTTTCCAGTCTTTTAACACTTTAGGCCCCTACATGGATTCTGCCATCCAGCTATATCCACTTTCTTGCTGATATTTGATATATGACACATGACACTATCTCCCATCTCTCTGCCTTTGCATTGACTATACCCAATACCTGGCCCTAAATTCTTTTCCTTCCCATCTCTGCTTCTTCTCTTCTCTTGTTTCTTAGCTCAAATCCTACTTTCTGCAGCAGTCCTTTGGAGGTCCCCTATGACGTTACCTCATATTCATACATCTTACAGGTATCTAGTTATTTACATGACATTCCACTCTCAGACTGTGAGCTTTTTGAAGGTAGGGACCGTTTTTTTTGTTTGTTTGTTTGCCTTTCTTTATATCCCCAGGGCTTGGCACATAGAAGTGCTTAATCAACGCTTCTTAATTGATTGGTTGGTTGACTTATTGACTATTAATGAAAAGAGAGGACTAGAGTTAAGCACATTCCATTCTGGAAGGCTAAATCAGTAAAGGGCCCAGATCAGCCATTCAGTCAGTGATCCATGGACAAAACCACATTTCCAACAAGATTGCTTTATTTTGTGCCTAAGATATTAACCCCACACACACTGGTGCTCTGTTCAGCCAATTCTGCCTCCAACTTTTCAGGAAAATTTCTCTGGAGATATTGTTCCTTTTGAATTACTAATGGTCTCATTTCTGATGCACAGGCATGTCCTGCAGTACCCTGTGCACCCCACCCTGATTGAGCTCCCCAGGGCACTCTGAGTGTTGGAGACACCGTTTTGTTTGGACTTCTCCTTTAGGACAGCTCCTGTGTGCCAATTAGGGTCAAATCCCAACTTCTTTGTGTTCATTCTTGTCCCTTCGGGCTCCAGCATTCAAGCAGTTGTCTACTAGAAGACTTTGTAGATTTCCATCAGCATTGAGAGATGGGAGACCAGGCCAGGGTCTTGCTATCCAATGATCTGCTGATGTAGGAGATGGGGTGTCTAGCCTGGAGAAGAGAAGACTCGGGGGTATATAATAGTGGTCTGAAACTCCTTGAAAACCTGAGATTAGATTTGTTCTAAGTCAGAGTCCCAGGACATGGGGTTGAATCTTAACTCTGCTACCGCCTAACTGAGTCACCATAGGCAAGTCTCTTGCCTTCTCTAGGCTTCAGTTTATTTGAATCAGAAATCTAGAGTTGAAAGAGGACCAAGGAGGGGAGATAATTAGGCTAGGTTCAGACAAGTTAGTAAGTGATGGGGCAGAATGTCAACTCACGTCCTATGAATTTATCTGTTAAAAAATGTAAAATAAAGTGATCAATCAGATGGACTCGGAGGTAGCCTCAAGCTCAGAAACCCAAAGACCCCATGAATTAGACCCAATGGGTAGCAATTAATTATAGGCAATTAAGTCCAGCTCAATATAGGAAAACATCCTAATGAGAGCTGTCCCCAAAAAGGAATGTGACTTCTCAGGAGATAGGATGACATTCACCATTGTTGAAGGCCTCTAGGTACAAATCGGAGGACAAGGGTCAGGGAATTTGTAAAGTGCCCCACCTGGCTCAGGTACTCACCCCCTGGGTTAGTCACATGGTTTGTTTTTTAAAGCTCAACATTCATGCAAAGTTTACATTCTCTGGAATGGTGGCTTGGCTGTGCTGGTACAAATGTGGAGGGATGTAGCCAAATGTTCATCTACTCACAAGGCTAAGGCTTTTTCTCTTCTTAGACACAGAGCACACGGGAAGGAGTCAGTGACAGTAATGAACAGTCTCTAAGGATTCTGGGCAAACCTCAATGACACACCAACATCTGTCAAAAGGTGGTTATGGCTCAATCCTCTGTACTAGTAGTCCTTAGCCTGGAATCAATGGATCGCCAAGGATTAGATTTCAGGGGGTTTATGAACTTGTATAGGGGCAGCTAGGTAGTTTGGTGGCTTAGAGTCAGGAAGACCCAAGTTCAAATCCATCCTCAAAAACTTCCTAGCTGTGTGACCTTGGGCAAATCACTTAATCTCTGTATGCCACTGGAGAAGGAAATGGCAAACCACTCCAGTATCTTTGCCAAGAAAACCCCATGAACAGATGTATACAGGGTCTCTAAGAGTTGGAGATGACTAAAATTAGTGAATCACAAACAAATGAACTCAGATAGGAAAAAAACTACATCTTTGTTTTCACTAACCTCTAATTGAAATTGAGCATCTTCTTCAATGACTTAAAAATATGATTCTTAGAAAGGAGAGGATCCATGGTTAAAAAAAAACATTAAGAATCCCTGCTCCACAAAGAATTGGAAACAAAGTGGATACCCATCAACTGGGAAAGGGCTACGTAAATTGTGGCACATGAGTGTCATAGAATATTACTATGCTATAAGAAATGATATGTGTGATGGATACAGAGAAGCATGGAAAGAACTACATGAACTGATGCAGAGTGGAGTCAGCAGAGCCAAGAAAACAATATACACAGTAACTACAATACAAATGGAAAGAACAGCAACACATCAAAAAAAAAAACGAAAGTAAATGTAATAAAATCGATAAGACTGAGGACTCAAATGAAGAGATATGAGGAAACATCTCCATGCCACCCATCTGTGGTGGTGGCAGATTCACAGGTGGCACACGCTACATGTATTTTGGGGACTTTTTCAATGTATTGACCAGTTGTGTTGATTTTTTTTTCCTCTCTAAAAATGCTATCATAGGAGATGGCTCTCTAGGAGACAACAGGGATACTTGGGATAACTATGATGATACAAAAAAGAGAAGACAGCAATAAATACTTATTAAAGAAAAAAAAAACACCTCTAGTCAATAGTTGAACATATATTGAAACAGCAAAGATCCAGAGACCAAGTAGGCACCTATTGATTGGAGAATGTTGAAACAAAGTGTGGCACATGTAATGGAATATCAGCATGCCATGAGAAATGGTAAACAGGAAGAATTCAGAAAAAACAATGTTGAAGGAAGGATGTAAACCTAGGAAATGAGTGGAAAGAACAACAAAATGGAACTGAATACTATGTCTTAATAAACAAGTCAGGCCATTGAAAAAGAGTCAGCCCTTAGGGGCAGCTAGGTGGTGCAGTGGATAGAGCCCCAGCCCTGGAATCAGGAGGACCTGAGTTCAGATCCGGCCTCAGACACGTCACTTAACCCCAATTGCCTCACCAGAAAAAAAAGTCCACCTGTCAGTCTCCAAGAATTTATTAAGCTCCCACTATGAGACAAGGCATTACGCTAAGCCTTTGGGATCCAAAGAAAGAAAAAAGAGTCTCTATTCGCAAGGAGCTCCCTGATCTACTGGGGGTGACAACACTTGAATAATTACATCAAGTAGAAAGAAGGTAAGCTCAAAGGGGAAGGTTTGGGGGGAGGACGGAGAAACATCTCCCTCAGAGAGAAAGAATATTTCAGGCACAGGGGACAGCAAGGGCAAAGGCATAGAGTCAGGAGACAGGGTGTCCTATGGGAAGAACAGAAAAAAATGGCAAGTCTAGATGGATCAGAAAGGCCTTAGAGGGGCTCATAGTTTAAGATGACTGGCAAAGTAGGAAGGGGCCAGGTTATGAAGGGATTGAAATGCCAACAAAGGAATTTGTTTGATATTGGAGGTAACAAGGAGCCACTGACATTCACTGAGATGGGGTGGTGGGAGGGAGTATCCATGGCTACATGTGTACTTTAGGATGGAGCATGGATTGGAAGACAGAAAGACCAGGCAGAAAGACTGAAGAAAAGGAGGCGAAGATTATGGGTGTGACAGGTCACAGGGACTGCCATGTGGCCAATGCATCATTTAAGTTTCCTTTGTTATTTTTCTTTCTTTTAAAATCTTTGTTACAAGGAAAGACTTACTAGTTAGGGAAGGGAGGAGATGTATTAGGAAATCAGTGTTGTATAGAATCAAAGACATCCCTAAAACTTAAGGAATAAATGAAGGGCCCATGTGTGGAAGTCAGGGGAGGAAGAGGATCCAGGTCCCCCTGGGCTGAGTCATTTCACGTTCATTCTTCAGGAATCTGAGCTCCCAGGTGGCACTTGGTTGTCAGTCAGAACTCCTAACCAGGCTAAGAAGGACAACCAAAGGTGACTGCTCCATAGCAGAAAACACCAGCTGGGGGCCTGCTCAAAGCAAGGCTCTGTGGGGGGCAGGGGAGAGGAATCGAAGATGACTCAGGCTTTGCTCTTTATCCTCAAGGAGCTTCCAGACCAAATCTGAAAAAGACAAATACAAATTCAAGCCCACAGTGGAAGATAAAGGAAACTCCATGAGCATTTGTCCACACATAAAACAAACCCCCCAGACAGACAAGGGTTCCCAGGAGTAACATTGCTCCCAGATGGGCCATCTGGGAAACTTTTCAGGCAAGGGCAGGGGTTAATAGGTTCATGTGGAAGGACAGAGAGCTAGGAGGGGTGCTTTTACAGAGGAGAGAAGAAGGCTCACTCCTAGGAGAGTATGAGGTCCAGATGAAAGGCCAAGAGCTAAAGGTGTGCTCTGGGAATTCGAAGTAAATTGGCAGGGTGTAAGGGAATGTTTCCCTTGAGGAACCGGGGAGGAGCAATTTTTGACATTGTGGCTTGAAGGCAGAGCTGGGTTTCGACTTTGTTCAGCAGGTCATAGGGAGCCACTGAGATGTCTAAGTAGGGTAAGG